TGTGAAAGCATTTTCCCTGCAGAAAGTTGTCAAGATGCTTGAAGAAGTGTTAGTCTGTTGGTCAGAGGTCAGGTGAATATGGAAGATGAGGCCAAACTTCGTAGCCCAATTTGTAAAACTTTTGAAGCATTGGTGTGTGACGTGTGGTCAGGCATTGTCATGGAAAAGAATTGGGTCCTTTCTGTTGACCAATGCCAGCTGCAGGTGTTGAAGTTTTTGGTGCACCTCATCAATTTGCTGAGCATACTTCTCAGATGTAATGGTTTTTCTGTGATTCAGAAAGCTGTAGTGGAACAGACCAGCGGCAGAGCACCCAACTGACCATAATCTTTTTTGGTGCAACATTGGCTTTGGGAAGTGCTTTGGAGCTTCTTCTTGGTCCAACCACTGAGCTGGACGTACCAGCTGTCATATAAAAATCCACTTTTCATTGCTCAAACTGATTGAGAAATAGTTCATTCTTGTATACAATAAGCAAAATGACACTTCAACAATTTTCTTGATTTGGGTCAGCACTCGAGGCACCCACTTATTGGGCTTTTTCACCTTTCCAATTTGCTTCAAATGCCAAACAACCATGGAATGGTCAACATTGAGTTTTCTTCAGCAACTGTTGTTGTAAGAGGATCAGCTTCGATGATCCTCTCAGTTTGCTGTTGTCAACTTCTGATAACCAGCCATGGCGCTCCTTATCTTCAAGACTCTTGTCTCCTTTGCAAAACTTATTGAACCACCAGTGCACTGAATGTTCGTTAGCAGTTCTTGGGCCAAATGCATTGTTCGTGTTGCGAGCCATCTCTGCTGCTTTATGGTCTATTTTGAATTTGAATAAGAAAATTGCTGAAATTTGCTTTTGCCCAACATCATTTCCCTAGTCTAAAATAAATATAAAATAAACAGCAAGTAATGTCATTAGAAAAAAAAAAGTGAGAAATGTGCATTAAAATAATGTCTAACATAAGCACATTTATTTAAGAATGTATTCCAATATGAAATGCCAAATTTCAACAGTGCAAAACTGCAATTACTTTTGCACCAACCTAATAGATCAAGTGGACAAAAAAAAAAAAACCAGGTAATGGGAATTGAATCATGAAGGGCCTCTAAGAGGCTGCATTAAGGAGTTGGATTTTATTCTGAGAGCAATAGGAAGCCATTAAAGGATTTTAAACAGAGTAATGATTACATCAGATGTCCTTTTTTTAGAAGGATCACTCTGGCTATAAAATGGAGAATGGACTTCAGGATGATCAGACTACATAAAGACAAGAGGACTATTTTAGAAAACTCTTCCTACCCTCTAGCCAAGAGATAGTAACCTGAACTATAATAGAGTCATTGGTGAAGGAAAAAGTCATTGGTGAAATGTCCCAGACATTTCAAGGGACATTCAGATGGCATTGTTGATCAAATGGCAGAGGAGGAGGATCAAAGACATCTGTATCTGTGTTCTACAAAACCTGATACATAGCAAGGAAGAGGAGGAGCAGGGTTTTGCCAGGGGTAAGAAGAGGAAGTGGGGTGGTAGGGAAAGGTGGAGATATTGTGTCCTTGTTTTTTAGTATGCCGCTTAACTCTCAGTCTGTCAATTTTGACATTCAAACTGGTTCATTAAAAAGTTAAATTTTAGGGACTTCCTTGGTGGACCAGTGGTTCAGAATCCACCTACCAATGCAGGAGACACGGGTTCGATCCCTGGTCTGGGAACATTCCATATGCCACAGGGCAACTAAGTCCCTGCACTGCCTGAATACCCTAGAGCCTTTGCTCTGCAACAAGAGAAGCGTGAGCACCGCAACTAGAGAGTAGGGCCCCCATCTCTGTCACTAGAGAAAACCGTGTGCAGCAACAAAGACCCAGCCCAGCCAAAAATAAACAAAATAAATAAATTTTCTAAAAAAGTTAAATTATGGATTTCCCTGGCTGTCTAGTGGTTAAGACTCTGCACTTTCAATGCTGGGGCCACAGGTTGGATTCCTGGTTGGGGAAGACTCTGCATGCTGCATGGGGACCAAAAAAAAGGGGGTAAATTATATTCAATATACAAGCAGTATACAAGTCAATTTTAAAAGGTGTCTACCAAAAATATACTATTTTAAATTATTGGTGCTTATGGAATGTTTCAATAATCTGGGCAAAAATTATACATTAACAATATCAGAAAACTATGTGTATATTTGAAATAATCATTTTTCATGTAATAATGGCCCTTTAAGATTATTTATATTTTTATTGAAGATTTTCATGCTTTTCTGTACATAACAGACTTTAATTTGCCCAAATATTACAGTGTTATACAGTTGGTAGGGCTTTCCTTAATGTACAGCAGGTATTATGAACAAGGAATTCCAATCTGTTGACCTGTGAATTTTTACAGAGTCATAGATTTCATGGCACATAGCTCCTTTTCTTTTCCTGGTTGTTCTTAATTACCTTAAACTAATTCCAAGTTTATGGTGTATGTTTATATTTCAGAGGACAATCATTCAGCACTGACTGAAGCCAGGAAGGGTGTACGTATTTTACAGCCAAAGTGAGGTTACTTACAAATGCTGGAAACTAAGGAGCTATTTTTCCAAAGGCACTTATTCAGTATCTACAAGCATGAAAAAGTTTAAAGAACTTACAGATTTCCAATTATGAGTTTTAAGGTTTTGTATTTCTTTTACCGTCATTCCAAATGCAAATGAGGTTCCGAGTTCCAAATGTGCTATGCAGTTTCAGCCTAGTATTCTAATGCATGGAGTGGAATGTGAGCCTGTAATACAGAAACAGGACTGTTTGAACTGTAGAGAAACCCTTCGGATCCTTACAGGAAATCTGCCTGAAAGTCTGCAAACTGGAAGATTCCTGGTAGGAATAGAGCTATAAGGAGATATATGATTCCAGTATTGCCTCTTAAGTGATGGCAAGGATGTGTTTTGAAAAGATAAAACTCTTTTTGTTTCTGGTTTTTAAAGTTAACACTTATTTGAGCTAATTAATGCTAATATTGAATTAAATTTCACACACAGATTCTGCTGTTTATTATGAGCCATTATCATTTTAGTTTCAGTTCAGACCACATTGCTTCTTCAATTGCAGCACTCTGCATTCAGGGGTAGTGCAAGCAAAGTAGTGAACTGGGCTCTTCTCCTTTGGGCCAGTTGCTGTATCACTCTACTTAAAACATAATTTGGTTACCATCATGCTATATAGACATCTCTGTCTTGATGGAGAAATGCTATAACCAGAGATTCCACTATCAAGATGTTGTAGGGTTCTTCCCTATCATGGAAGTTGAAAGAACGGATGTATTATGCTTTCTTAATATTATTTAAAATTATAGTAATTTGTTAGTTTTAAACAGTATAAAAAAATTAGGCCACATCAATAAAATTACAATTCTTTATATTTCTAGCTGAGTCAGATATGTATTAAAATTAAAGGGAGTTTTCATTTCTATCATTGAGTTGGTGGTAATTTTTTTAACCTTTATACTTCCTGGAAATACATATGCAAGGAAGGAGAGAGGGAAAGAATTGATGCACCAGTAGATGTGAATGATGCTGAAGATTTAAACGTGGTACACAGAAATTACTGAGGTGACCCAAAGACTAAAGAGTAGATAAAACCAAGGAAGGTCTTAGAATGCAGGAACAGAAAAACCAGACCCTTATCATCTTTCCCTCCCCCATGTTGTAGCTATTAATGGATTTCAGGTCCTCCTGAGCAGTATAACCTGTCACCCCTCCTACCCCATTAGATCAGTTCAGTTGCTCAGTCATGTCCGACTCTTTGTGACCTCATGGACTGCAGCACACCAGTCCTCCCTGTCCATCACCAACTCCCGAAGTCCACCCGAACTCATGTCCATTGAGCTGGTGATGCCATCCAACCATCTCATCCTCTGTCATCCCCTTCTCCTCCTGCCATCAATCTTTCCCAGCATCAGGGTCTTTTCAAATGGGTCAGTTCTTCGCATCAGGTGGCCAAAGTATTGGAGTTTCAGTTTCAACATCAGTTCTTCCAATGAATAATCAGGACTGATTTCCTTTAGTCCTGACTGGTTGGATCTCCTTGCAGACCAAGGGACTCTCAAGAGTCTTTTCCAACACCACAGTTCAAAAGCATCAATTCTTTGGCGCTCAGCTTTCTTTATAGTCCAACTCTTACATCCATACATGACTACTGGAAAAACCATAGCCTTGACTACCTCATAGGGAAACGGTATTTACCTTACTCTTCCTCCACCCAGTATATGTGCCTCATCCAATCAGCAAATGACCCACAAGACCCCTACTCCTTGTACCCTAGGTATAAAAGTGAACTAAGGACCTTGTTCGAGGTCAGTTCTTCCTTGAGCTGGCCTGCTGTTCTAACAGCATTTCCCACTCTAATAAACTTTATTTCCCTCTCATTCTGTCTCATGTCTGGAAATTCTTTTCCAACCCACGCCTGGACCATGACATTTTTGGTGGCCTGTACAGGGAACTTGGGGTCTCTTCCCCCACCTCTTCACTTCCCCTCTTTCATAGGGACCCTCTGCGAACAGGCAAGTGCTGTGGAAGCAACTGAGGAACTCTGGCTAGGGTTACCCTCTGCTGTGTTCCAAAGGGCCCACTGCTCACTGCACCCCAGTAGCTGCCATCTGAATGGGTGAGGGTCTCACCTTTCGACTTCTTTCCAACTGAGGACTAGGCCAAAGAATATTGTGTGGGCACGAGTCAGGCACTGAAAATACATTAGGGCGCCTGCCACATGAAGACTCCTGTGTGAGGATGAGGGGGACACGGAACAGATAAGGCCAAAAGGGCATCTGCCCCTAGCAAGACAACTTCTGTACACCGTGTCAGTGGTTGAAGCAAAACACCATTTTCCCCTGGCCACCGCCTCCCCAATAGAATTGTAAGGCAGATTCCTCAGCCTTCTCCCTTGTCCTTTCACTTCTTTCCCTTTCTGTCTGGATTGATTTACAGGAGCCTAGGTGTTGCCTCTGAGCCATCCCAAGAGCGCCTTCCATGTTTCAGGGAATCCCGGAATGGTGAGTCACCTGGTTGCTCCCAGGAATCTCTGTCTTTCTCTGCTCGGGCCACATGATGCCTTAGTTGCATGGTTCTCAGAGGTCACATCTCACTGTTGGATACAACTGTTGGGACAGTCGCCCATTTTTGTGCCATTAGTTGCACAGAGATGTCACTGAGGCAAAAAGAGCCGGCTTTTTGCCAGTCGGTGACTATCAGTGCCCCCATTCTATGGCATATAGGCGAAGGATGGGTTCTGATATGTCTCAGGAGACTCTCTCAGACTCACTCCTTCGCTACATTCTCAGAAACCGGGAAATTTTGACCCTGCCAAAGGCCTGGGCCCAGTACAAACTGGGGGACCCAAAAAACATGGCCTCTGAATGGCACACTAGCTTTTGCCAAAAGCAGATCAAGGACTCAGAGTTTCCTTACATCCAGTCCTTCATGGCCCTCAGTCAGAATCCAGGTTTCAGGAGCTCATGCCACATGTCTTTCTGTTGCCTCCCTCTCTCCTGTCTCCCTCTGTCTCTCTCCATCAGATTTCCCAGATGACCCCTACTTGACCTTTCATATCCACATGACCTCTAGGAAAGAATTCTGGGGTTTCCTTTGGTCCAGGTCCTTCTCCTATTTTCAAAAGCCTGTGGGATCAAAAAACTCTCCTAACATTCTAAAGAATTCCCTTCTAACTACTCCTGTTTCTCAGGGTGGAGAATGACCAAGCTTCCCCCACTCCTGCAAATTCCCTTAACCCTTCCATCTTCTGATAGGACAAAGACCTCCCTTCTCAACCAGAGGGACAATCCAAGATTTTTATCAGCTGATCTGCCCCTGATATCAGAATCAATTTGAGCACTCTTTGGTCTATATTTTAGCTATGAAACTATGACTACAGAAAGGAAAGATGACTTTGACACAGGATGACCATGATATATATTCTTTAGACTCCGGAGAAAACTGGTTAAAATGAAATTTTTTTCTTGGAAACTGCAAAACCAGTTCTTTTTGCATATGCAATTAAAAACAACTAGCTTGTTAAAAAGCCTGCCTAGGGAAATGTTTGAAGTTAACCCTTTCCATATCCTTGAAATACACAGCCCACTTTGCCTGAGACCTCAGCCTTGGACAAATTAGAACTTTAAAACAAAAGGGGGGAAATCAAAAAGACATTTTAAATCTCAAGCGGAAAACTATGAAATCTCTGCCTGTCTGTCTGGATTTATATATGTCTCAGTGTATGTCTTTTTTTTTTTTTTAATAATATCGCTGAAGTTGTAAATGAGTTCTAATTTAATTGCCCTAAAGAAAAGTAAGCACTTACAAATCAGACCATCCTAAATACAAGAGAAATTAACCTAAATGAATTTCAAATTTACGTGAACTGGAAATATGCAATATTAAATATCTACTATTAATGTTTGTTTGCTAATCTAATAGAGATATGTCTAAGAGTCGTTAACATTAAGCATAATATTTTCATTGTGCCTAGGTTTATCATAAGTTGAATATTGTTATACTGTTATATCTGTTACAAGTTTGTCAGCAAGGAAAGTAACTCGAGTGAAGAAACTTTAAAAATATATATATAAACGAGGCAAGAGCTTTTAGATAAACTATTAAGAATAATTACATTTTAGAAATATCTGTCTAAAACAGTCGCTCTAGATATTGGTAACCTGAATTTCAAGGGTTGCGCTAAACTAAGCGACGGAAGTTTATTGAATAGCTAGGTCACTTCCAAATAAAATAAGATTCTGAAACATTCATTACTGAACACTAACTTCCTCTTACAGAGAAACTAGAGATTTTGGACTATTAATGAATAATGTTTGATGCCATCCTGAGACGTTCTCTAGAGTTTTTTTTTTTAAGAAATTATCACCGGTAATTATGTTCACCAATCTATAGAACGCTAATACAAAGGTCAGTTCATGGTTGCTTAAGGAAAGTAAGATGTGTGTTTTCAGTAAAGAAGGTATGAGGAATGAAATTACATTTTATGAAGGAAAAAGGAAGTAGCTCTACCATAGAGGTGACTGTTTCAGGATGGGCGAATGAAGTAATGGGTACAGAAAGTGATAAGAAGGTTTTATGGAAAGTGGACCCCAAGAGAAGAGTTTTGTGCATAAATACAAGTTTTCTTGAGATGTTGAACTGCCTTTGATAATGGATTTTAAGTTTCTTTACCTTGGAAGTGATCTGTTCTGTTGCCTTTGAAATCTTTGTTACTTTGGTTAAGTGAATATATTGTTTCATAGTGATCTATATGATTCTGTCTGACTGAGTGTTATAAACCCTTGTGATACTTATCAACAAAGCTTCCTAAATAACTTGACTTCTATCTAACTTTGGGATGCTTCAGAGAGTCCCTGAGACATCCCAAAGTGCTATTAAACTACCTGGGTTCATTGGACGTGTTAAATTATATGCAAAGTACTACTGAAGGGGTGATCAATCTTCTCAGGTTACACTGTATGATGTTACTAATAGAGACATCCTGAAATTCTGTGGAATTCATATAGATCTGATATGCTCTGATAAAATGTGGTCAATTATAATTCTAGTTATCATATTAAAGTGCTACTTTGTCAATTGCAATTTAATAGGATTTTAAACATGCCTTGTGGGCACTCGGCGGGGGCCACAGCGCAGACCAGACTTCACTCGCTTGCAGCTCGCTCCGCGCCCTCTGCAACAATGTCTGACAAGCCCAATTTGGCTGAGATTGAGAAGTTCGATAAATCGAAATTGAAGAAAACGGAAACGCAAGAGAAAAATCCACTGCCTTCGAAAGAAACGACTGAATAGGAGAAGCAAGCAGGCGAGTTGTAATGAAGCATGCGCTGCCAGTATGCCCTGTACATTCCACAAGCATTGCCTTGTTATTTTACTTCTTTTAGCTGTCTAACTTTGTAAGATGCAAAGAGGTTGGATCGAGTTTAAATGACTGTCTACCCCTTTTCACATCAAAGAATGGAGAACTACTGACAACGTAGGCCGCTCCTGCCTCTCCCATCTGCCTATGTGGCTGGCAGGGAAGGAAAAGAACTTGCATGTTGGTGAAAGAGGAAGCTGGGTGGGATGATAGTGAAATCTAGAGTAAAAAGCTGGTCCAAGGTATTATGCGGGCTGTAAAATGCAGTTTAATCAGAGTGCCATTTTTTTTTGTTGTTGTTCAAATGATTTTAATTATTAGAAGGCACAATTTTTTAAATATGCAAATAAAAAGTTTTAAAACCTGAAAAAAAAAAAAAAAACATGCCTTGCATGGTTTCACTTCTATGGCTTTTCAAGAATACTGCTGCTGCTGCTGCGAAGCCGTTTCAGTAGTGTCCAACTCTGCGCAACCCCATAGGTGGCAGCCCACCAGACTCTCCCGACCTGGAGATTCTCTAGGCAAGAACACTGACTTCAAGGTTTATGGAAAAGACGATTCTAAGATTAACCGATAAACAAATTTTGTTTGTCTGTTATCCAATAAACGGATAACAGACTGGAATTTAGGCTACTCTCCGTGTTAAGAGAACAAAGTTTTCTTAGAATGCAGCTTTCGATAACAGATTATGGATTTCTTGGCCTTTAAGTGATTTCTATTTGTTTTTTTATTCTTTTTTTTTTTTTTACTTTGGTAAAGTAAATAAGCATTATTTAAGATTATGGTACATGTAAAAGCTTATTCTGCTTCTACAAAAAATAACCCCTCACTGTTAGACTTTTGCTCTTCTGATATCCTTAAACCATGACAACAGTCTACTCCTAAATTGGGGAATTAAAAAATGGGTGAACAATAGCTGTAAATCAAAGAGTCAGGGCTATGGGAACTCCAAGACGGCCACTTGGATTTTCCCGGCTCCCTGACAAACCTCATTTTTATTTGATGGGTTAAAACTTTCCCTGGCTACAGGGTTAATGCCCACACAATGACAAAAAAAAAATTATATATCACTTGATATTAACTACTAGTTTTGTTAATTAAGGTCTGTGTTTACTATGACTCATTTCTGAGATAGTTCCTTGTTGTTATGTTATATTGCTAAAAGGTTTAATTAATTAAGTTATTAGAAAGGACACTCTTAAGTTTGTTTCTAAAGCTTATCTCAATAACCAATCTTTGGATAAAGGTCAGAGGCTCCATGATGTACAACCTGGAGATTCACACCTGGCTATAATCATTTAACTAAGTTGGATGACCCGGGTATACTGGGCTATACCTAATGAAAGTTCTTGACTTAAATTCTTGCTTGTGACCTTACTAATAACTGCTAGCTATATTATTTTCTATGTCACTTGTTTCAGAGGATTGTTTCTTACCTTACTCCATATGAGATCAATGATTGTAACAATATAACTCTAGCTATGGGAAGAAGCAACAAGAGGGAATATTTTCTTGGACCAAGAGGCTAATAAGACAGGTACGGTCCAGAGACTTTTGCTACTTGCAAAGTCTGGCCTAGTAACAGCACACTGCATGGCCTGTCAATGGAATCTTCGTTAGACCTGGGAATGAACCTTCCTAGCACCACAGGACACAACAGCCATGAAATGCCCCCAAAGCATGGTCAAACATGTGGCTATGAATGGACCCTGCTGACTGGAAGTTGGCACTTGCCAGCTGCCTCTACAAAGATTACATCATGACCACTGCAAGCTGCTGACCTTCAACACCCCCTGAAAGGAGCTCAGAGTGGAGATCAGAAATAAGGCACTCTGCTCTGGGAAAAACCCAGAAGAATTGGCCTTCAGATAGTCAGATGTTTTCAGGTAAAGATTTTATGAGCCCAAATTCTTGCATCTTCTTATACCTAGAGAAACACTAACATCACGAACCACTGTCTGGTCCTGGATCTCCTGGCTAGCCCCTGAGCAACTTTTCTACTATTAATCTTTGGGCCATGTACACATTCTGTCATTTTTGAGATTGCATCCAAGTACTGCATTTCAGACTCTTTTGTTGACTATGGTGGCTACTCCATTTCTTCTCCGGGATTCTTGCCCACAGTAGTACAGTAATGGTCATCTAAGTAAGATTCACCCATTCCAGTCCATTTTATTTGCTGATTCCCTGCCACAGGGATGGGGGCTCTGGGTGCAGCAGACTTGGGTGTGGCATAAGCCCTCTTGGAGGAGGTTGCCATTAACCACCCCCAAAGAGATGCCAGAACTTACACAGGAATGAGAGATAGACTCTGGGAGGGCACAAACAGAACTTTGTGCACCAGAACCCAGGAGAAAGGAGCAGTGACACCATGGGAGACTGACCCAGACTTGCCTGTGAGTGTCCAGAAGTCTCCAGCGGAGGTGTGGGTTGGTGGCACTGAGTGTAGCAGAACTGTCCAGAAGTCTCCAGCGGAGGTGTGGGTTGGTGGCACTGAGTGTAGCAGAACATGCATGGGCTCTTTTGAAGGAGGTCACCATTATCTTAATTACCTCCACCATAGTTTGGCCCCAGGTAAATAGTAGGGTGGCAAATAATACACAGGTAAGAAGAGGTGGCAAGAATACAAAGAAAAACTGTACAAAAAAGATCTTCATGACCCAGATAATCACGATGGTGTGACCACTCACCTAGAGCCAGACATCCTGGAATGTGAAGTCAAGTGGGCCTTATTTGCATCACTATGAACAAAACTAGTGGAAGTGATGGAATTCCAGTTGAGCTATTTCAAATCCTGAAAGATGATGTTGTGCAAGTGCTTCACTCAATATGCCAGCAAATTTGGAAAACTCAGCAGTGGCCACAGGACTGGAAAATGTCAGTTTTCATTCCAATCCCAAAGAAAGGCATTTCCAAAATTGCTCAAACTACCTCACAATTGCACTCATCTCACAAGCTGGTAAAGTAATGCTCAAAATTCTCCAAGCTAGGCTTCAGCAATACATGAACTGTGAACTTCCAGTTGTTCAAGCTGGCTTTAGAAAAGGCAGAGGAACCAGAGATAAAATTGCCAACATCTGCTGGATCATCAAAAAAGCAAGAGAGTTCCAGAAAACCGTCTACTTCTGCTTTATTGACTATGCCAAAGCCTTTGACTGTGTGGATCACAATAAACTGTGGAAAATTCTGAAAGAGATGGGACTGTCAGACCACCTGACCTGCCTCCTGAGAAATCTGTATGCAGGTCAAGAAGCAACAGCTAGAACTGGACATGGAGCAATAGACTGGTTCCAAATCAGGAAAGGTGTATGTCAAGGCTGTATATTGTCACCATGCTTATTTAACTTATATGCAGAATACATCATAAGAAATGCTGGGCTGGAGGAAGCACAAGCTGGAATCAAGATTGCGGGGAGAAATACCAATAACCTCAGATATGCAGATGACACCACCCTTATGGCAGAGAGTGAAGAGGAACTAAAGAGCCTCTTGATGAAAGTGAAAGAGGAGAGTGAAAAAGTTGGCTTAAAGCTCAACATTCAGAAAACTAAGATCATGGCATCTGGTCCCATCACTTCATGGCAAATAGGTGAAGAAACAGTGGAAACAGTGGCAGACTTTATTTCTTTGGGCTCCAAAATCACTGCAGATGGTGACTGCAGCCATGAAATTAAAAGACACTTGCTCCTTGGAAGGAAACTTATAACCAGCCTAGACAGCATATTAAAAAGGAGAGATATTACTTTGCCAACAAAGGTCTGTCTAGTCAAGGCTATAGTTTTTCCAGTATTCATGTATGTATGTGGGAGTTGGATTATAAAGAAAGCTGAGCACTGAAGAATTGATGCTTTTGAACTGTGGTGTTGGAGAAGACTCTTGAGAGTCCCTTGGTCTACAAGGAGATCCAACCAGTCCATCCTAAAGGAGGTCAGTCCTGAGTGTTCATTGGAAGGACTGACGCTGAAGTTGAAATTCCAATACTTTGGCCACCTGATGCAAAGGGTTGACTCATTTGAAAAGACCCTGATGCTGGGAAAGATTGCGGGCAGGAGGAGACGGGGATGACAGAAGATAAGATGGTTGGATGGCATCACTGACTCAATAAACATGAGCTTGGGTAAACTCCAGGAGTTGGTGATGAACAGGGAGGCTTGGTGTGCTGCGGTTTATGGGGTTGCAAAGAGTCGGACATGACTGAGCAATTGAACTGAACTGAACCTTTAACTTTCTTCTTAAGTTTGTTTCTTCTAGAATCAACAAATCTCCAAGTGGTAGTACAACAAGGATATTCCCTGACCAAGTAGAGGATGCTGAAACAAGTCACCTTATTATTCCATGGACTCTCATCTCCTTCCTTAAATGCACCCTGACAGAGAGCAGGCAAAGGGCACCCAGAGCCCCACGATGCCCCTCTACAGCCTGACAAAGCCAGAGCGGTCATCACCTCCCTTCCCCCGAGACTGGATTCCCAAATGCTTGAGAAGGGAAACAGGTAGAGTTAGACATGAGCAGGATATCAACAGGGGCTAAAGAATTGGCCCTAAAAATAAAGAGAGGGAGGAATGTGGTGACCAAAGGACTAAAAAGCAGAATAAAACCAACAAGGGTCTTGGAATGCAGGAACAGAAAAACCAGACACTTATCGTCTTTCCCTCCCCCATGCTGTAACTATTAATGGATTTGAGGTCCTCCTGAGCAGTATAACCTGTCTCCCCTCCTACCACATAGGGAGAAGGTATTTTGCCTTACTCTGTTGTAGCCACACGTTCTGGGAAACCAACTCACTCAGAAGGACAATGCAGATAGTGGAGTGCAGTTTATTACACCGGCGGGCCCAAGGCATAGTCTCTTCTTAGCCAAGAACCCCAACCAGTTTTTGTGAATACCTTATATACCCTAAGTGTACTTGCTCAAACCCACCTCCCCAAATTTC